CATCACTGAATCTGGTGCCAAATGTTATTAAATGACTGTTCAAGAAATTGTGCACATCGTAAATTATACAGCTTAGGACAAATGGTCGCATACCCAACATCTCCACATTCAGTACGAATGCAGCGCAGTGCACTGTACGACTGAGTTCAAAATATCCGGTTCGTACAAGTGCACTGAACTCACCAGGGCTCGGTCACCGCCTCCGCCCTCCGAAAAATTTCGTTTTTTGCTCAAAGACAGATTTGGTACTGGTAATAATTAAAAAAATAATTTCACCGGCAATGGTCCAGCGGGCGTGGCCAGAATCGAATTTATGTTTGGTATATATTGTCAATGTACAGTAAGTACTGCGCTTGAAAGTAGCTACGATTGTATTCCCATTAGAAGTTTTTGCGCTGTTTATTTTATCGTTTTGTTGAAAGCTCCTATTTTGCTTTTTTCACTAAGCTGGCTTGACATTGTAAAATTGTTGTGAAATCCGTGTACTTCTTGAACTCTGAAAACTATCAGCGCCTGCGCGGTGCAACACGCAGAATAATACAGAAAGAGGTGCAATCCAATCAAATCCCATACCGGCGAAATTTTCCGAAATTTTTTATTGTAAAAGCAGTCATTAAAAATTGAAAATTAGCCAAGGGGCAAGTTTGCATTGATAACAGGTAATACAGCAGCCGCGCCTCGGATCATAATAATTTATAAACCAGAAGTACGCGCGAGAATATGCACAGTAAAGTACATTGCCAATACATACAGTACATTAAATACATTAAATCCTTGAATTATTTTTGGCCACGCCCATTGCACCATTGCCGGTGAAATTAAATTTTTTATTATTACCAGTAACAAATCTATCTTCAAACAAAAAACGAAATTTTTCTGAGGGGGGAGGCGGTGACCGGGCCCTGGTCAGTCGTACAGTGCACTGCACCGCTTGCGTACAGAATGCTGGGTATGGGGCTATGCGACCATTTAGTTACAGTATTTTAGTCCTACATTGTAAGTACTAATCAGGCCGGTCTTTAGCGCCCGCGCAAGTTCCATTTGCTGCGCACCAGCTCTCGAGACGCCTTTTCTCCGTCCGGGCGGGAGGCGTGGGGCCGCCAGTGTGCCCCCCTCCCAAAAAAAGACTGCCTGATAGTAACAAGTTAACAACCAACAACTGACAGTAGTCACTAGTCAGCAAAATGAATTCAAGCTTAATTACGAGTATTACTGATAACACTAATTGTGCAACGGTAAAAAAGTAACAGAAATGTATATACATACAGTAAAAAGATGTAGGATAAATTAAAACAAATCTGGTAATAGTAAACAAATAATATAAAACAACTATTTACTTATAAAAGTCAAGGATTTTATTGGGAAACCGCGCGAGTGCAACTGAGGAGTTATAGAATAGAAGTAAAGCGTACTGCGTACATAGTACATACTTCAGATTTCAGGAGGCAAAACACTTCATCCAGTCTTCTTCAATCAAAAACGTATCCCGTGGCTCATGGCTACATGTACTCACGATGCACTGTCGCGTATATAGTAATTAGGTACGATACTAGAGTAATAATAATTCTAAGAAGTAACAATTGTGCAAAGTGCAAACATGCTGGGCTCGCAGCTAATAGCAGTAGTAGCAATGTGATGCCCCTATTGAATATCCATATACTTCATGTGCGTTAAATTTAACTGGGCAGTTAAAAAATAAATAATTATGAACTGTATGTACCCAATCACCAGTGTTATTTACGATTAATTTGAAATTTTGATACGAGCGCAGCGAGATGTTACGAGATCATCAAGAGCATAAATTTGCCTGACGCCACGAACGAAGAGCGTCACGGCCCACTTTTCCAATTCCACGAATGATGAATCCAATGCCCTAATACCCAGTGGGTTTGGAGCTCGCGCTCGTGCAATGATGTGGTTGGCAACCAGGTCACCAATCTCCTTGTTTATCAGATATTTAGGTGCAGTAACTTACTAATATCGTGAATGTACCGTGTGCTATTTAAGCAACCAGCTTGTATAACGTTGATGAACAGAACATAACAGAACTGACACCAGTGTGAGCGACGCTTCCGGTTTCTGTTCCCGTGACTAAAATAATCTCATAATATAAATTCTAACAATTTCACTCATTCGGCATTTCCATTAGTCCATTTCTCCGCCTAAAATTATTTAGACAGTGACAGCAATATTTTTAAAACAATGTGCAGTTTTCAATTTTGAACCGCTTCAAATGTTGAAAGGCCTACACCTTTGGTCGGAATGGAATACGGAATGAATACTTAGAACGGAATACTAATATTCGGAATGCAATTTTCGGAATACGGAACGGAATGGCAGATTTTACTTGGAACGGAATTGTATTTTTTTGAGCGGAATGGAATAATTTTTTGTCGGAATGGAATAGCGTAATGTTTTTGTAATGGTGCAAATTTTTAATTCCTTTTTAACTTAGCCGGAAGCCGGTGCCAAAAGGGAACACAATATTAGCCGTAATTACCGTAATTATCGAATTTGAACCCCTGGGGTGCAAATAGTTCAAACGTCCTGGAGGAGGGGGCTTATTTCGGGAGGGGCGTTATTTCGGGGGGTGGTACTATTTTTCAAACAGCATTTTTCCGAGGGGACCGTTATTTTTCAAACAACTGCGTATCCAGTTCTGTTGATAATGAACGCAGTAGATACCGGTATTTGCAATTTCTCAACCTTACGAGCAGCATTGCGAAGCCTTGCACCACATTATTTTTGTGACGTTTGTCTGTTTATTCATTAAATCATAACAATTATTATGAAGCAATTTTCGGTATACCGTATATAATATACGGTATAGGATATATCTAACCTTTTGTGGCGCTTAACATTTAATAACGCCCCCTGGGCCGTAAATTCGGGGGGAGGCGCTATTTTTCAAACGGGTTGTGGGAGGGGGGCTTATTACGGAGGGGGGCCTTATTACGGGGAGGTGCAAATTCGATAATTACGGTATTCATGTACTGTAATGCGATTTGGTGACACCACGTTTTTGTTCGCCAGTTTTCACTTAGTCTAGCCAACTAATATTGATTTATTTAAAAATTAACCCATTTCCAAAAAATGCAGGCGCAAAAATATCGCGACGATATATCATATGGCATACGCTATTTCTAACACAAAACAACTGACACTATGGAAAACACTCGAAGTGACACTAGTCCGCTGCAGGCTGCCGGTGCTGTCGCTGCATAATACAAAGGTACCAGCACTTCAAAATGGTAACATGACCAATTCAAACAACCTTAACCGTTTTAAATCATGCTAAAAACGAAAAATATTAATATTGAGTTGACGAGTGACCACGGCATCCAGTTATATTCGGAAGAAATTGAGAGCCACGGCCGCTTTTTCATTATACGAGTAGTACTACTGTACTACAATGAGGTCTCATCCGCAACGCACTAACAAATATCCATTCCATCATCTGGCGATATGCAAACGTATGATGCCAATCCGTTCCAACATATGGCGCGACGTAAACGCACGACTGTTGCGCGCAACAGAATACCGCACCGACTGTCGCAGCTTGATAATAACGTAAAATTCTTAAACGCTGAGAACGGAGGCCGAATTTGTAAATGAACGTTTTTTGACAATAATAACAGCATCCCCAAACAGAAATTTTTGCTATGCCAGTTTACCAATGGAGACATAAATAGTGCTGCACTCAAATCAGGTGATTGTGACAGTAGATATCATACTTTAATATGTAAAAGAAGAGTTTACAACATTTTGCTTACATCACGTTGGCATCTTCGCGGCAGATGTCGTTGCCGGACATTGTTCCGGAATTTCGCAGGTATGTACAGACATATAACAGTAATCCGAACTTCACAGTAACAAAAAATACGGTAATTTCAGCTGATTACAACATCTCCACTGTGATACGTATTAGAAGAAAGAATAAAACCGATCAAAAACTGCAAAACGGTTACTGGATTAGCTTACACGCCGCAGAAACGAACTGCAACATATTCGATGATGTGAACCGTAAGAAGTCCAGACTGCAGATCACAAACAGTGTTTGTGATCGTCTGGACTACTTCGTACATTCCTTGCGCTAGCTTCTAGCTTTTCGTAATCGGCTGTTAATTTGTTCCTATTGGCATTGTGAATGCGCAAGTGTTGCTTCAGTCAGGAGAAGCCGAGGCGGTATACGCTTGTAATTGTTTTAAAACAAAAGATGTTTTTGCGTTTGGGGAGCAAGTAAGCTGGTCAGACTGTAACCGACGGCCGAAGGGAAAGAGAGAAAACGCAGTCTACCTGAACTCTGCTCAGTTAGACTACGAAGGAAACTTGTGGCATAGGTAAGCGAGTCAGACTGATATCATACGGTCGAAAGGAAAGAGAGGGAATAATTGAATTGTAATATCGCAAAGCAAAAACAAAGGTCTCTGCCAGCGGTATTTGATGCCGGCTGGTTGTATTTTGATATGCCGCTTCTACAGACAGGATTAATCGTGATGGTTAACGTAATTAGCATGTGGTTACACGGCTAAAAGCGCAAAATCACAGCATCTGACAGATCTCCGGTAGAAAAATAAATTATTAAAAATAATTTTTATTCCGTTCCGACAAAAAATTATTCCATTCCGGTTAAAAAAAATACAATTCCGTTCCAAGTAAAATCTGCCATTCCGTTCCGTATTCCGAAAATTGCATTCCGAATATTAGTATTCCGTTCCGAGTATTCATTCCGTATTCCGTATTCCATTCCGACCAAAGGTGTAGGCCATGTTGAAATTTTCCCAACTCGCGGTTTGTTTCTGAAAAAATCTAATTTGAAGCCTTGAAAAATGTTTAGAAATTTATTAATATTTTCCAATTACGCTTTATCAATAAAAAATTGCATTTCTTGATAAAAATCGCAGGAACTGGTTTTCTTTGTCGCAAACGACGAGTTTACGGAGTTGATTTTTTTCTGTGTCGGTGGATGCGTAATTTATAATACAGAGTAGTTGACCCGATCAGCACAATACTGCTTGAATCCGAAATCACTAGCCGCCGTTCAAAAGCCAAAAATAAATCAAAACAACTGCAAATGACGAAATAAAACCTATCTACAGAGTACATCCTTGCACCGGGACAAATTAATCTCCAAAAAACAACAGGATAACAGCACCACGACAAAGACAGAAGCGCTGCATAGAAAACCGTTCAGTTTTCTTCCCCACAAATTTTTTTCTGGATAAACGTTCTTCCCAAAAAAATTTGGTGAATAAATTGTTGTCCGCTTAGACGATGGCGGCGGCATCGTGGATGTGCATTGTGGTGGTGTGCGGGAGGAGGGGCGGGCCGCGGTGGTGGTCGGAGGGGGTGGAGGCCGGGAGGGGCTCCGCGCGGTCCCCGGCGGGGGGGTGGTGGAGGCCCTGGCAGGGACACAGCCAGCCCAGCATCCAGCCCTGCCCGCAGACCTCGCGCAGCAGCTGCACGGCGTGCACGTCGCGCCGGTACGAGCCGGACTGCTTGAGCGCCTCGATGCCGGTCTCGTCCTTGATGATGGCCGACAGCTGGTCCACCAGCATCACGCACACGAACAACCCGAAGATGCAGCTCTCCACCATCAGACCCACCGTCCACATCCTAACAACACCACACCAACGTCCTTCAATTATACACAAAACGAATAGACAGATTATTATTGGTAAAAACTACAGAAATAATTACCAGAGTTATTTATACATACAGATTAAATCAGCATACACAAATTTATATCCACATTAAACATAAAAACCCTCACAGAAAGGAATTCTTCGCGCCGTTACCATCACTATTATCACACACTATACACAGAGCATGTAGTCAAAATTACAGAAAGAAATATATAAATTATTTTCAAATAAGACAATTATACGAGAACACTATTATCCAACGTACTCGTACACTAAACGTAAAGCCAACGTACACTATTATCACACACTATACATAGAGCATGCAGAAAAAATTACAGAAATAATATACAAATTACTTTCAAATAAGACAATTATAAGAGAAATTAATTAATAAAAATAAGTGAGTAGAAATTCTAATTACCGGTAGTTAATTTAGTTACCTCCTTGTTAGTTAATTTCTCTTCTAATTTTTCTTATTTGAAAACAATTTTTATATCTCCAATGAAAGATGAAAGGATTAATTAGGAATAAAATTTAAATAATTTTTGAGTGGAAATCTGTTAAAAGAGTACGTACAGCGAGGACTGCTGGAATCCGCCGGGCTGCTCGCAGTCCGTGCAGGTGGCCACCCACGAGTAGACGGTCAGGGCGCCGGCGTAGACGCTGGCCACGGCCACCCACACGAGGAACTGCAGGAAGTACTTCTGGTTGTAGGCGCCCACGCAGTTGTTGATCCACGGACCTGCAAGGGAATTTCAGGATTGCCTTCACAGCGCCATGCGTTATCATTAACATTATTTTTTTTAAATCAATATTATTATTATGGTTGTTTAGAATTTTTCCCTGGTATGTCCATTCTTCTACTCACAGTGGTGGTCCATTTTGCGGATGCAGCCCTGACAGATGCGGCAGTGGTGGGCGCGCGGCGGCCGGAACATGTCGCAGCGCTGACAGATCGTCATGTTCTTCCCATCCACACCGCTCTGCACAATTAACAAAATTGTAACTATTATCCACAAATTTTCGGTAACATTCCTCAAAATATTGTCCTGTTTAACAGCAGACCAGTTGTCCATAGATGTCGCAAATAATGATATTTATTACCGGTAAAATAAATGGAATAAAAATCCTCAAAGGAAAATCTTCAACAATCAAATCAGCTGCTGATTCCGAAAAATACAAATGATTTTTTACAATAATTCTGTGTAAATTGTTGTATTTATTTTCTTGGGAAGTTCTGTGAGACAGGCACATAAAAAGATTTTTGAACCTGTAAAATATAAAATATACATCGTTTAACTGCAAGAATTTATATATTTGATTATTTTTGAGAAATCTGGATGATTTAAGACTATTTTTTCTATTTAAATTTTTTCTATCTAATTTTTCTATTTAAATTTTTTCTATCTAATTTTTCTATTTAAATTTCTATTTAAGACTATATTTTCTATTTTATTTTTTCTATTTCTATCTATTTAAATTTATTTAGATTTATTTGGATCAAGAAAACTGCTTATAAAGCAAGCATAAGATCATAAAAAAGCTTGTTATATATAATTTCAAATCAAATTTAATTTTTTTTTTTTAATATATGAATACATTTTAATCGGCATCTGCCATTACACATAACAATACGCCTGCGCGGGTTTACACTAATAAAAGTTCCGAGTTTTAAACATTGAGAAAACAATGTTTAAAACTCGAACAGACGGATATCTTTCTACGCTCTGGCCGTCGAGACACTTGGGACATTTGGATTGGCTTTCTCGGAGCTAATCCGTTTCGTCGGCCGCAAGATTCGTGTCATTACCGGAGTAGCCTCGATCTACAGCCTTTTGAGACATAACGTTTAAGTTTAGCTGTAGTCAGAGGGAATGCAGCGCTGTTTTGGGTACATTTAACGCGTCCTAAACTACGAAAGACGTAATGATTTTGGATGTTTTTCAATGTTTAAAACTCGGAACTTTTATTAGTGTAAACCCGCGCAGGCGTATTATGTGGCAGATGCCGATTAAAATGTATTCAATCAAATTTAGTTACGCTACATCCTGTAAATAAAATCGATCAACGCAGCGGAAGGAATAAGTTATAAGTTAACCTGCGATGTGCGCGAGCGCGGATAGGCGCCCAGATAGACCCCGCTGAAATCGTAGAGATTCTCCGACTCCTCCGCATCCCCGTCCACCTCCGTGCCGCGGCTGTGCGAGTGCGTCTTGGAGGGGGCCTCCACCACGCTGATCTCCAATGAAGCGCGCGGCGCCATCCGCTCCGTTGGCGGCGGCGGCTGATGATGACTGTGGTGGTTGTGGCTGTTCTGGCGCTGCAGCCGCAACGACAGCCGATCCTTCTCGGCCGGCCGCGGCACCACCCCGGGATCGGTGAGCATGCAGCGGATGTGCGCCAGAAAGCACAGGAAGATGCACACGTTGAACAGCACCGCGTGCACCGTGCCCCATAAACTGCATCAAGAAATGTCGACTGATTAGAGAGAGTGTATTTTGATTTATCCGACGATAAACATTACAATTTCACGATACAATGGTCAGCGCCATATCAGATTATAACAACTTGCGCAACCGGCTCAAATAACCGGATATTTCAGAGTAAATCCACCATTGCGTCACGCACGTACGCTTTTTTACTCTGTAAACAGGCTATAAAAACCGGTTTTAAATTTGAAACATGAATTCGCTCGCTATCCGAAGGAACACCATGAGAACTGTACAGCAGAAATCGTATGTACAACAAGATCACGAGCGACAACTGCGACATTAATGATTTTTGGTGATTTTTCAATTTTTAAAATTTATTAAAATAATTAGGGAAAATTCTGCGCAAGCGTACTTTTGTATGCAATGGACGTTGCTGAAAAAAAAGTTATTTTTCGTAGTAAATTTAAAATGTAGAGTACCACTGGTCTCACTCACCTGCCATCCATGGTGTGCAGAACGAGCCAAAACACCACCACATAGTCCGCGTAGATTAGCGCCGCGTACGCCAACACCACCGTCATAATACCGCAGGGATCTTTGCGAAAAATGACCATTTTCCCCAATTATTATGTACAGAACTCACGATAAGAAATCTGACGGGATACCAGACGCAACGCTCTTCCCACCAGAACGTGCGCGAAACCCAGCCACAATCCCCTCACGTTATCATCATGCATCAGGTTTTCTTCTCTGCAGAATATCAACGCACTGACAGAAGAGACGGGAAAGGACGCACAGCACTTAGTGCCACAATTAGTAACTCCTGCGTCAATTAATTAGGGATAAAAATCAATAAGAAACGGCTGGAATATGGCAGCAGGCAGTGTGCGACGATGTTTTCGCTGCGTCTTTCCCAAACAATCGAACGCAACGTGCTGTGAATCCCGCAGTGCAGGCAGTGATGGCCGGGAGGCGGCGGGGTATCGATCGGCCCAGCCATGCGGCAATCAGCGCTAATTAGCCGGTGACGTAACGCCTCACCGCCCCCGCCGTCCACCATTACGCTCAAGTGATCGGATTAAATTTTATTGCTCTGCTTGAATATTGCATTGCTGGTGAAAAATTCATTTTCCACACGATGGTTTAAAAGTTTTACAACGTTGTTTGTTTCTCGCGTATTGTTGTGTCAAAAATTTAAATTGTTGCTGTTGGATTGTTGGCGGGAATAAATTCTGATGTGTGCTGCTAGAGAGTGACCGATTTGTGGCGAGGAGAAGGCAGAGACCGACAAGGTGTGACTGGACAGAAAACTGCGAAGCGTTTTTTTCTGCCTGGCAGTTTCGTCATTGTTGACGCAATCCCGAGCGAACGGTTGTTTGGTTTATGTTCTCCTTATGGGCAAAAGATGCCTGCTGTTCTGTAGATTGTTATTTTTCTCCGTGGGGCATCACCGAATCGCTTTTATTGCAGGATTTCGTGATCAACGTCTGCCCGTGGACAACGGTGGTTTTCCGTTGGGTTCTTCCCAGAATTCCTCTTCTTCCCGTGTTGGCCTTGCTCAAGCGTCGCCGCTGTTCGCACGGGGATGGCGTCCAATTTATCCACCTGGCAGCCGGATGAGAACGGTCTGCGGGAGATTATTCAGTTGTTGAAGGAATCCCAGTCCTCCGATAATCAAGTGCAGCGCGATGTTCAAACGGTAAAAAACACTCCTCAGCCATTCTCTGCGCTGGCGTTGCTCCATCTTCCTGGTTGTATTTGTAGAAACTGGAACAACTCAACCACCATCCGGATTTCAACAAGTATCTCATCTATATTATGACGCGGTGCAAAGCGGAAGGTAAAAACAGGACGATTTCTTCATGCTGTTTCTGTTAAATACGGCGCAGCCGGTAGTATGGCTGTTCTGGTACGGTGGCGCTGGGTAACTGGTACAGGGAAGCAGTACAGTTGTGGCGTTGGCTGACTGTGTTTGTTGATGTTTTTGTGCGTGTGCAGCGGAAACGACGCGGTCCCTGGCGGGATTGATCCTCAAGAACAACGTCCGGGTGAAGTGGGATGATTTCCATGCCAGCACGCAGAACCTGATCAAGACCGAGTGTATGGAGCAGCTGGCGGATAGTTCAGCGCTGATTCGCGCCACCATTGGCATCCTCACCACCACCATCGTTTCCAAAGGTAATTTCTGCAATTTATACTGTTTGGGGCCGTTTCTGAAGTGATTGGCTATGAAACTCATTTTATAAAAAATCTATGATTTTAAATTAATTTTTTTAAACAAATTTCCGAACATTTTTTCTGTAATAAGCAAGGAAATTAAATGAAAAATCATATTTTCTGATATTATTTTCTTAATAAATGGAATTCCGTTCTTATTATTGAATTGATAACCTTTTTAAACTAAATATTAATTTTAATTCCACCAGAAATTAAATAATAATTTAAAAAATTGACTTTGCTATTTAATGCAAATTCAGCCTGCGAAATGATTGATGCTCACAACGTCTGAAATTGATTTTATCCTTAATTTGCACAATATCACTCCTGTTCTTCGAATTCTCATTGCTGATTTGGATTTTGCAGCGGGATTAAAAACCTGGCCGGATTTGTTGCCGCGGTTATGCGCCTGGCTGGATTCCGGAGTGATGGAAGCCGTGGATGTAGGAAATGCGCTGGAAATACTGATTTTCAGCAGGGAAATGGCGAATGTGGGTGTGGTTGCAGGGCGCCTTCAGTACCCTGCAGAAGATCTGCGAGGACGCCACGGAGATGGACAGCAGCTACGGGGACGCGGCGACGCCGCAGCCGCTGGACGTGCTGGTGCCCAAGTTCATCCACTTCTTCTCCTACCAAGTGCCCAAGATCCGCGCCTACGCCCTGGCCTGCGTCAACTGCTTCATCCTGCACCGCATCGCGCCCATCCAGCCCCACATGGAGGAATTTCTCCAGGTATGCACCTGCTTCAGCCTTTTTTTTATCCGAATATCTCTGCAATTTAGACCATGTTTTGCCAATTTTTATTAATTTTATTTTCCGATTTTATCGACTATTTTTTGCTCTTCGATATGTTGTTATTTGACGGTGTTTTTATAATTCTTTGTAGGCATTTTTAGCAGTTTTTTTTCTGTTGATGTTTCTTCATCTGACGGCATTTTGGATTTTTTTTATAATTCTTTTTAACATTTTTGCTACCATTTTTTTACTGTTGATTGTTTGGCATTTTTTTCAGTTGACGGTATTTTTTTGAATTGTATTATCCAGTTTTTCACGATTTTTTTGCTGGTAGTGTTTTGCCGTATGACGGTATTTTGTAATATTATTTTTGACAGGCTACTTGGTGTTTTGTCGTTAGACGGGATTTTTTAAAATTATTTTCGCAGCATTTTTCTACTGTTTTCCCCGTGTTTATTTTTGTTCGTTATGTGGCATTAACATTCTTAATATTTAATAATTAGTATCGGATGTTTTCTCTGCAGAAACTGTTCAGTCTGGCGATGGACACGGATGCGGAAGTGAAGAAGCAGATCCTGCGCGCCATCGTCACCCTGCTGGAAGTGCAGCCGGATGTGCTGTACCGCGACCTGAACAGCATCATCGGCTTCATGCTGATGCGGACGCGCGACGACGACGAGATGGTGGCGCTGGAGGCCTGCGAGTTCTGGCTGAGCGTGGCCGACAACCAGGTGTGCCAGCAGGCGCTGATCCCGCATCTGCCGCAGCTGGTGCCGCTGCTGCTGGAGCGCATGTGCTACTCCGTCACCGACATGGTGCTGCTGCGCGCCGAGGAGGAGGAGGACGAGATGAAGCCCGACCGCCAGGAGGACATCCGGCCGCGCTTCCACAAGGCCAAGACGCACAGCTTCGACCATGTGCCCGGCCCGGCAGGTGAGGGGGGATGACGTGTGAGGCAGACGCCAGGATGACGACGATTTTGACTGTATCTGGAAAATATTCATAGAAATTCATCGAAATTAACCACAGAAAAATTTTGAATTTTTACTGCATCCCGAAAAAATTAATAGAAAATAAACAAAATTAACCAGAGAAAAATTTTGAATGTTTACTGTATCTGGAAAACACTAATAGAAAACCATCGAAGTTAACCACAGAAAAATTTTGAATTTTTACCGCATCTGGAAAGAAATGGAACAAAATTTCACAGAAAATCATCGAAATTATCCAGAGAAAATTTTTGCGTAGTTTTGATAATTTTGAAAAAAGCATAAGAATAAGCTGGGAAATTTATTGTAATGGCGATTAGCGGAATTGCGATAACAGTTGTATTTCATAAAATTAAACGAAAAATAAAATAACTTGAAAATTGACCAGAAAAAAATGAACAAGTACAGACAAAAATGTATAAGTACAGTAACAAAATTAATGATAATTATGCAGTTTTGTGAAAAATATTGATGAAATTCACATGGCGGAACGATGACTTACGGTTGAATTTGATCTCGTGAAACCAGAAAATGATATTCAGTTTTCCGAATTAGAGAGAAAACTTTTTGAAGAATAATATTTTTAAAAAATTACGGGAAGAAGTGTTATCCTTTTAACGCATTTTGGGGCGCATTTGGCAGGAGATCACGCACAGCCGGCGCCGGATGCGGATGACGCGGACGGCGACGACGACGACGAGGAGACGACGGAGTGGAATCTGCGCAAATGCTCGGCGGCCGCGCTGGACGTGCTGTCCAACGTGTTCCACGATAATCTGCTGCCGGTGCTGCTGCCGGTGCTGGACGTGATCCTCAAGAGTCCCGACTGGATGCGCAAGGAGTCCGCCATCCTGGCCCTCGGCGCCGTCGCCGAAGGTGCGCTCAAACCGTCCCAATTTGCTCGTGTTGTGATTTAATTCATTTAATCTTTTATTACTGTAATTATGTTGAATTATTTACGGTTAACTGTATTTAAACTGTGATTAATGTGCAGTAATTAATGTGAAATTTATCTAATACTTGGTTAATGTAATTATTATTTAAAATTTATTCAAATTTTAATTGAATTAATTGTTGAGTAATTTGATTTATTTATGGGCATTTAATCGATTTATTCTTTGATTAGTTGAGTGAATATTGAAATAATTTGATATTTTGATTTTTATTAATTAAATTATTTAAGTGACTTGATACGAGATGTATTTGTGTTGCAGGCTGCGCGGAAGGCATGTCCGGGCATCTGCCGGCGCTCTTCCCCTTCCTACTGCAGTGCATGCAGGATCCCAAGCCGTTGGTGCGCTCCATCACCTGCTGGACGCTGAGTCGGTATGCCGGCTGGATCGTCTCGGAGGATCCCGATCGCTACTTCAAGCCACTCCTCGGACTGGTCAGTAATTGCTGCATGATGGAAAGCATTATAAAAAAATACAATTATTATAACTCAGTATTGCTTCAGCTTGTTTTTTTGCACACATATACCCTGACTTCAATCCTTTTGTGCATTCCTGATTTTAAAATTATTGATTTGAACCCTAGTGAAAGTTTTTAATCGGAAGAAACATTTTCATACATAGCAAATTTAACAATGTACTGTACTACATTACACGGTGTTTTGCAGCTGCATTGATTTATTTTTCTTAAGGATTAATTTCAGTCTGAATTTAAGATGTTTGATTCAAACCTATTGATGTTTTGAATTTAGGGTAAATTTAATTTTCTGACAGGTGATCGGAACTTAATTTTCCATAATTAAACCGGGGGCATAATTCGATTTTCTTGCAATTTGTATAGTTTAATTTTGCTTGATTTCATTGGGTTTAATTTTTGTCAACTGAATACTAAATTAAAGCGTCCACTGCAGCTGCTGCTGCTATATTTAGCATATTTAACTAATTTAATGTCAGCCAATTTAATTTTACAAAATTTCTTTAAATATAAACCGTATTTAATTTTGGGAATTTAAATTGTTTAATCTGGATGTTTTTGAGTTTTGTCGAAAACTGAAATAATTTCCATCCGATTGAGGACTAGCTAGGACAAATAAATGAAGAGACTGGGTTAATTAAGCACGGTGTGTTTGCGGTTGTACAGCTGCTGCAGCGCGTGCTGGACTCCAACAAGAAGGTGCAGGAGGCCGGTTGCAGCGCCTTCGCCACGCTGGAGGAGGAGGCCGGAGTGCTGCTGGTGCCGCATCTGGACGTGATCGTGCGCAGTCTGGTGGCGGCCTTCAACAAGTACCAGAGCAAGAATTTATTGATCCTGTACGACGCCATCGGCACACTGGCCGAGTCCGTCGGCCACGAGCTGAACCGCGCCGAGTACATTGCACTGCTGATGGAGCCGCTCATCTTCAAGTGGAACGGCCTGCGGCCCGACGACAAATCCCTCTTCCCACTGCTGGAGTGCCTCTCCAGCGTCGCCACCGCCATGGCCACGGGGTTTATGCCCTACGTCGCGCCCGTCTTCCAGCGCAGTATGCAGCTCATCGAGCGCAGTATCCACGAGCAGAATGTAAGATTATAACGTCTGACAATTATTATTACTATTTTTTATGTAACATTTTATTCATCTTTATTTTGCTTGAAATTTAAATCGAATTTACAGTCCAGTAAAATTAATTCGGAAGCTACATTTTACCGAAATTAAGAAGAGATACGTCGAATTCAGATTCGCGTGAAATTGAAATTAAAATAAACGGTACTGTAATTTGTCCAATAAACTGCTGATTTATGTTTATTTATTTATTCCGTTGTAAAATTATAATTCTGTTATGTATGTCTGTTTAAGTGCTGATGCAGCGAGCAATTAGGAAAATTGTGTTTGACTGTTGTGGGCGTCGTGGGTGGTTTTTGATGGTTGAATTGTGGGTTGCAGCTGTTCCTGCAGCATCCGGACCTGCACGAGTCGCCGGACCGTGACTGTCTGATCGTGGCGCTGGATCTGGTCAGCGGGCTGTCGGAGGGCGTCGGCAGCCACCTGGAGCCGCTGGTCATCAACAGCAAGCTCATGCTGGCCGTCCAGCACTGCATTCGCGTACGTTACGACCTGTATACAATATATATTTTAATACATATAATTGATTACAAAATAAATGTTAGTAATTAAAATAATTGTTAGTAAAAAAATTATTGGTTAATGAATAAGAATTATTACCTAACATGTGGGTGATGCGAAGAGTGATGGTGTGACAGGATCCGGTGCCGGAAGTGCGGCAGAGCGCCTTCGCTCTGATCGGGGATCTGGCCAAGGCGGCGTTCAACGCGGAGCGGCCCTTCCTGAGTGAGTGGCGCTCTGGCGCAGCGTTTGATCACGGAGAATGAGGACGCGAGTGAAACGGGTGTTGAATGGCGTTTTGCAGATGACTTCATCATGGCGATGGCGCAGAACATGAACCCGGAGCAGCTGTCGGTGTGCAACAACGCCACCTGGGCCCTGGGCGAGGTCTCCATCCGGCTGGGCGCCGACATCCGCCAGTACGTCCACCTGGTCCTCGAGTCCCTCATCTGCCTCATGAACCGGCCCAACACGCAGAAGACCCTCCTGGAGAACACCGGTAAGTACCCCTTGATCATTGAGCAGTCGAATTCAATCGAAATTTAGGCAACGCAATCAGTTTGAGCTGGAAATTAAATTATTAAATTGCAAAAGTGCAATTATTGACTACTCTGTAGTAAACAAAATCAGCTTTACACTGAATTACAATAAAATAAATACAGCGATTAGATAATTCAGTTCAATTTGAAATTAAAATAAATTCGGGGGATATAGAAATGTAATTAATCCAGCTTGAAATTTGAAATTGAGTGGAATGAAATGAATTAAAGAAAATGAAATTATACATGACTTGCGTGTAATGAATTCAGTTTTCGATTAAATAAGCTATGTTTTCAGACAATAATCGCGCGATACTCATGTGCGTTACATTTTTTTAATTATGCTGGTTGTGAATATCAATTAGATTACGTTAATTATTCAATAAAAAATTAATTTAATTTAAAAAAATAATTAAATAAAAGAACATTCAGTAAAGAATTAATTAAATTAATGTATTTGTTTGTATAAATTACTGTTGACTTTTTAACGGCCGGATAATTGTCCTCATCGGCAACGCTGTGCATCCATGCCCGATCTGTAAAAGGAGCTTCGGAATGTCCGCTCTGTTTCGCTGATGACAGGGGCGGAGCTGGCATGGGCGTACTAGTGCGTTGCAGACGAGGGGAATTATTGGTCGCTGGGTGTGCAATTACGACTGGGTCTGGAGTTCGCCGGCGGGGCCGGTGTGACCAATCTTGAGCATTCTGTAGCCATCACGCTGGGCCGGCTGGGCTGGGCCTGCCCCGATCTGCTGGCCAACCAGCTGCACTTCTTCATCAAGCCCTGGTGCCACGCCCTCCGCAACGTCCGCGACAACGACGAGAAAGCCAGCGCCTTCCGGTACGTTGATTTATTAGTATATATTCAGTAAAATCAGCTACTGTCTGAGACGTTACCGTGTCGTCCATAAATGCCGATAATTCTTATTCAGCCACTTACCGCTGAAACCGCCAAATTAATCTTATCTGATTTAACCGTTAATGTAACTGAATTTGTTGCAACCTGTCGTGAATTGAATTGTGTTTAGATGTGAGTGTGTTTTTGTGGAAAACTGTCAACAATGTCATCGATTTCAGCTTGGGTTTAATTTTATTTATTTGAAATTGGATTTAAATTTTACCTGCTTGATAATAGTGCCGTATGGCGTATGCGGCTGTAGCGTTGCGTGGCTGGTGTACAATGTAATACGCACTTTTTTGATTGCCTGGCAGGGGTCTGTGCATGATGATCGGGAGCCGCGCCAATCCGCTGGAGCTGCAGGATTTCGTGGCCTTCTGCGACGGTGTGGCCTCCTGGATCTCGCCCGATCAGGAACTCAAGGGCATGTTCCAACAGGTATGATTCATTAGTTAACTGCTGTAGTTTGCCGTTCATCAACTACGTTTAATTTGACGATATTACTGCTCGCTTAATTCCTTATGATACGTATCGGTCATTTGTTGGCCTTTGTTGATGTTTTTCCTTGTTGTGTTGTGTACGAAAAACAGTTGTGACGATATTTGTTTCGGTATTACTGTAATAACCACGATCAAGTAAAAATGCAATGGCTTAAATATCTACAATTAAATTTACAATGTAATCAGAAGAACTTTAATTACAATTTACGAATGAAACCTGAATAAATTGCCGTCGGGATTTTTATGGGAAGGAGAGCGTTAATTGGTCATGATGTGTAGATTCTGTCGACGTACAAGGCGGCGGCGCCGGCGGAGCAGTGGCCGGCCTTCATGGAGCAGTTCCCCGCGGTGGTGCGCGACCGGCTGCAGAAGCACTACGGCCTGTGAAGCTTTTCCCCGACAACCTGTAGTTCCGCCTGGCAATGACGACGGGGACGCGATGGTCAATAGGCACGTCGTCGGTGGAGTAAGGACGCGATGTAGGAGAAGATGCGACGGGATCGTCGGTTAGGTCGTCAACTCGTCGGTGTAGGGATGCGTTGTTGCGTTGTTTAATCTGTGATTAGGAAGTAAGTGTGTTTTGTTCTTTCGGTTTGGTTTCTTTCTTTGGTAATTATCTCGGCTCTGTGGATTGATTTGTGTTCGACTGGGAATTCCGTTTGCGGCTGATATGGCGCGACCAGCACCCGTGTACGTGTAGGCCGGGGGCGGGTCAGCGTGTGTAATGTGTTTTTTTTACAAAAACGATACATGTGATAGGGTTTTTAGCTTTGTTTTGCGCCGGCTTTTTGAGTGCTGATTATTTTTGTAAACACGACTGGGGAGCTGCTCGTTGGTGGTTTGTAATGGTGACGGTTAATTCGGTTAGTTGGTGATGCTATCGATGGTTTTGTTTCAATGCGACGTCCCCTGTAGGATTCGATGCGATGCGATTGACGTGGATTGCTCCTCGGTTGTCTTTTTTTGTTTGTTTTCTAATAAATTTCCTCCAGTGTCCGACGCTGTGGATCGGTGCTGCTGCCGGTCGTACTGATCATGAAGCATTTACTCGTCAGCCGTAAAAGTGTTGAACGAGAAACAGTATTGCCGTATCTAAGGGGCATTCATTGGTAATTATCGTAATCTTACGTTTATCATAATCTCTGCATTCATAAAAAACGAAATGTGAACAATTAATACACAAGAAACTTGAGGAATAATGATGAGTGTGAACAACAGGCTGCGAGAAAGCGGTCGTGACGAGTCCGCAACTGAATTGCCTGCCTTCTGGTCATCCGTGATTAGACACGGAATAGAGCATGGATACCGCCAATCGGCTCAGTGTGGATACACCATACATGGAGCCAGCGCCAGTCCTCATTGACCCACAACTGCAGTTTCCCATTCCCCTCGAAATCGCTAAACCTGCAACGTACAACGGGCCCGCTTACCGTTGCGGAGGTGGTACCGTGGTAGTCCGGCTCATGAGGAGCGCTGCATTCAAGCAGTTATCGGACTTATCGCTGTCGGAATAACCGACAGCAAGGGATGGAGGATCTATGTCAATGATCTGCGGTTAGTGGCGGCCACTGGTGTGACAGACAAATGCAGGAGGCTCATAGTGGTCTTTATTGTACAAATAAAGGGAGCAAATGCCGCGTGATTGCGGAAGAAAGAACAACAAAGCCAATGTCTGGCATGAAATCAGCAAGTCAAGTTGCTGCGAGCGAGTTCTAACGCGTAATGAAAATGTAGAGAGAGAAAGAGCTGGCGGCAACGGCGTCACGCTGGCCAGACATGTGGAATGTGATGCGCAGACTGGACTCGTATCCAACGCGAGCGTATGAGCGCTGAGTCATACAGCGAGAGAGAAGCGAGAGAGCAAGTATGCTCAGTGAGTGCGCCCGCGGTAGATCCGCTAGGCGGAGAGTGCAGTGCAGCCACTCACTGTATTCCTGTATTATGTAAACTACTGTATTCCTATTCCTACAGGAAAAGCGACATTTTACATCAGAATCTATCACGACTTGCCGCTCACCGGTTGATCTACTAACTGACTGACTGACAATGCAAATATTGATCGCTAAATATCACAGTGGACAGAGGTCATAAATACAATAAAGGTTACGATTACTACGGCATCACGGAATCCTAGAGCCGCTGGTTGTAATTCTGTGACAGAATTTCTGTCAATGTTGAATTGCTACTTGACGTGGGATTTTTGAATGGTTAGTTACTGCATTGTTCGATGGGCTATAGCGCTAAACGCCAGATGAGCAGCTCTGACAACTTTATTACCACCGTCAACTGCCGCACACCCGTATCCTTCGTCGGCTACGTGTCCCCTGCCAGCGGCCCCCGGGCCAACGGCTTTTTCGCAGCCACTTCCGGCTCGCTATTTACCGTCTCCAGTACTGGAATGATCACTTCACGGGCCTGTGTCTCTGACTGCGTTCTATGACTTCTAACACGGCGTCCATAGGTGGTGGACTGTTTCCCTTGACTCTGTGCAGCAGATCCAGGTGCACATCACCTGAAACGCACCCCTTCCGCTGCAATCGGCAGCTTTTTGACAATGGCAACGCACTTCGTCTCCGCCTTTTACACCATCCCGGGTACCTTCATCTTCATTATGACGAACAGAATTCCCGGGCCCGTAACGTACGGCGGAGATAGTGGTGGAGTTGGAGCCGACCTCGGACAGCACATAGCTTTCTTGTTGGCCTGCTATAGAGAGACAACGTGTAGAGCGCAAACGCGGATAGTTCCCATACTACAGCGTATTGTCGCCGGGATTTACTCGACTTAATATGGCGCATACCCATTTCCGGCTAGAAAAGCTTGGTAGCGCAGAATTTCACATCTGCAAAGTTTTCCTGTGTGCGGCGGAACAAAGGAGTGCGAAGTGTCTGTTCAAGCGATTGAATAGAGGTCAAATTACGTTTATATATCTGTCAAGTTACGTTTATATATCGACATGTCTTCGTGGTAATCAGTTTTGCGGCACAGAGGAAACCCAGAATCGACCTGTCCTGTTTATGGATTGCTCTGTTGCAGATCTATATTTCCTCGTATGGAATATATCAGCTCCACCAAACCAAAAAAAGACCAACCAAAAGCAACATTATATTCTGAAAGCCCGTAGTCAAAAACCCGACCAGATAGTATTTATTTCTTAAATCAAATAGTGGCCATCCAGGGGGTTTTGCTGACTCTTAACCCGGCAACGTCTGCTAAGTGGAAAAACCACCAGTAAAGTTCGCCAATTTTTACAACGCCAGGACTGTCGTTATTACCGGAACGACATGTGCAAAGACATTAAATAGAGCAAAGTTAACTCTTCGCACAAAGTTAACTCTTTAAATTCCCGAACAATTGACCCCCCGCGTATGACAGTTTCCTTTGGGAATGCTGCCTTTTTTGCTCCGTGTATGAGTATTTAGAAATCCTACATTAGTTCTTTTTCTACATAGTTACTAGTATCTGTACATGTGCCAATGCATGACAGTGTACGATATTATGTATTTTGCGTGCTTCGCGACAATTCTTATTTCTGCTGTTAAGTATAATTATGGAAAATAATTTTGGAAAATCTATGGACAAGCTGGGTAAAAACAAAAATGTATAGGAAATCACCCAATCTTGAACGTTTATCGGCAACCTCGTGCAGGCGTTATTCTTTATGGTTGTAGACGTTAAGCCAATTGAACAAACAAACAACAAGAAAACTGTTTTGCATTGAGGGTTGACAGTGCCGAGGTTCGCCGGGTGGATTTTCTCGACGGTCCCAGGAAACGATCCCGGAAACGGTCCCGTTTTGCCGATACCGAGGCACGCAATGCGCTGGGCGGTGTATGTGTGTGTAACAATGTTTTTGTTGTTTGTTTTACAAAATGGTAGATGTCATATGCTGGTAGAGATTAATCAAAGTGAGATTTAGTCATTTGTGAGGCTCCTTGCGATGCCGTTTTTTATAGTTTTCTTGTCCAACGGCTCCTGTGTGCCCTGTGTGCGTTCTTGTTTAATTAGCTCTAGGGAGCAGTAATTATTTGTAATTACTGCTCTGTAGTAAGCCGTCTTTACCTTATGAGCGGAACTCGGTAGCAGACATTTTGATTTCTGTCATAAAACTACTGAAACGCTAAGCTTCCCACCTCAACGCTAAGCTAATCTGCTTGACTTTTAAGGAGGATGACAATGCGTGGTGGCGGGATACATTTAGGATATGGGCGGTGAACACGCCGTCATGCAATTTGAATGCATGAAAGTAACGTTACACCGCGATGGGCGTGGGCATGCTGTATTCTCTGGCACATTCCTCAAATCCCTTTGGCGTCGCGGGTGAAGCTAAATTTGCCTGCCGGAGGCGGCCGACGGGTGCTGGAGTGACATAGCGGTCTGCTATATTACAAACTCTTTGTTGAATGGAACAAAAAGTGATTAACGGACCAGATTACGCGCCTGGCCACTGCCGTTCTGTTGGGAGAGGGCTGCACTTTCCGTCAGACGCTACGGTGAATGTTACGCGGCCCTGCGTGAAGAAGATGGCAGACCATTCCGCTTCCGACGCGCCATGGCTGTGCAGCGGAGCAGAATTATTCAAATATCCGGCACTCCGACATTCCGGCCAAAAACCGACTGCCGGAATTTCTCCCATGCCATTGTCGAGTTTTGAACAGGCTGCAAGCTTCCCACCACTACGTTAAGCGGTGTCCTCCCATTTCGCCATTTCGCCAGCGGCACATTTCGCCAACCGGACATTTCGCCAACCGTAGTTTTTCTATTTATTCAGGTTTTCTTAGGCTTCTTAGGTTTTTATGTTTTCTTAGGTTATCCTTACGTTTCATATAGGATTCTTAGGTTTTCTCAGTTTCCCACGTTTTTTAGTTTAGCCTTCTTAGTTTTTTTAGGTTTCTTAGACTTTGTAGATCTTCTTCGCTTTCTTGCGCTTTTTAGGTTTCTCTTTTAGGTTGTTTTTGCTTGTGTTATAAATTCGATTCGAACTGTTTGTGATAATTTCGCTTCGAACTGCTGCGAAATGCTGTTACAAAGCGAATTGTCCGGTTGGCGAAATGTCCCGTTGGCGAAATGGGTGGTAGCCGATATAGCCGCCGGGTGACACGTGGTGATGTGGAATATTCCATAGGAGTCGATGCAGCCACGGAGACAGCGCAGGCTGCTCTACCTCCATGGCGCATAGCGCATGGCTGGAGCGCTATTGATAATTTTAACGATCGTTTCGCAGTGACCGTTAGTCAATGGATTGGGAGCGAAAGGACTAAATAGTAAGTGAACAAGATGTAGGGCTAGACCGAAGCCAGCAAAAGGCACTGGCCAGATCATCTCGCCTACGCCCAGTGCAATACGATTAATGCCTAAATGGCAAGGAAAGCACATAAAACGTTCCAATCAGCAATGTGGAAAATGTGTGCAAAAATTGGGCTGTACTCACTGCAGAATACATTATCTTCTGCTGATATCGCAACGCAACGTCTGTTACCCCGTTTTCTTCGTATTCAGTGCTGGCTTCGTATTCAGATCACATAATCCAAATGGTCTCAAACGCAGCTTATTTAAATAATTTTCTAATATAAATCTAGCTCGATCTGTGAACATTGTCTCTAATATCGTCGTGCCATGTGCTTTTAGACTGTGTGTTGTCGCGAATTGTATTACCTGAGAAACTGAGGTACGTACCAACAACGGCGCGCAACGCCACATTTTTTTCGCGCTATTTGGGGTCGGCCTACTTTACCTTTGCCGCCCTTTGCCTTTCCCTTTTCACTTTACCTTTTTCAAGTTCACCGTTCCTTTGCCCTGGCCGCCGTGAATACCTTTGCCGTCCCAATTTACGGTTGACAAACGCTGTTCGAAAAACCTTTACCGTTATTTAACCATTGAAATATGCATTGTAAATTACCGTCAAAACTTTGCCGTTTCTACAATTTCTTGCTTTTGTATTTTGAAATATTTCGTGACCATTAATAACTGCGTGTGGCTTTTGCGAGCACCTCGC